TCAAGTATTAAATTGTCAATGTATATTCGCGCTAATACATAGTTACCCGATAATAGAGGTTTAATCACCGGTCCACCCATGTCACCCGTCGGGGAGATGCCATCAGAAGAATTGTTGGAGATGATTTTAAAAGGTTTCAATCGACAAAAACTAAAGAAACTTGAATTGACTCCCGAATTGATGAACCAGTTGCTAAGCTTGGATGAAACCAGAGTAATTATCACATCAACAAATTTCGAATTTTCTAGAAAGATTCGATGCCAATTTTAAGCCCCTTCCTTTTTCAGCTCCAAAGAAGTTATAAGATCGGTGTACTGTACTGTGCCCCTTCACAACAAACAGAGTTAGAATTATTTTCAAACACAACTACCTCACCACTCTTCGACAGGTTTCTGACAATCTTGGGTACCAAAGTTCGATTACTCGGTTTCAAAGGGTTTGCGGGCGGACTAGATACACGCAACGGCGGGTCGGGTGACTACTCAATTTACGATAGCGGAACATGGAAAAACTTTGAGATAATGTACCACGTGTGTACACTTATTCCATTCGTAAAATCGGATAAACATCAGGTCACAAGGAAGAGACATATAGGAAATGGTATTCCTTGAATTATTCAAACCTTTGTTGATTCATAACTACCTTTACCTTTTCTCACTGTCGTCGTCTCACCACTTAGACATCGCTTGCATCGTTTTCCAAGATGTTCGCCGACCGTTTAACCCATACACGATACGCTCCCAATTTTTACACGTATACGTGGTGGTCAGTCCCGTACGAATCAACGTTGGAACGGACGCATACTGGTGGGTGATGTTTCACGTGCATGAAAATCGGAAATCTCCAAGCGACAATTTAACGAATTCTCCGATTCTTTATCAGGATAGACATAGTGTGCAAGGATGGTGTCCCATATTTTGGTCCCGCGCTTCCAGAACCACCAATTTTCGATGATCCGTTGGCATTAAAGAAATTCCTGGTTGCCACGGGTAGAGTAGATTTAGAACTTGATGTTTGTTTGTTTGTTTGTTTTATTTCTCACGAACGTCATGTTTCCTTTGATTGATAGTTATAAATGGCCGTAATGCCGCCTGGAAAGCGCCCAAATTATCAGAACCATTTCTAAGGGCACGCAGCGCAACCATACGGGACATTGCTGATAAAGTGATATTACCACAATCGGTAGCTGTAACACCACCTTCGCCAAAAAGATTTTCACAAGATGTTGCACTAAGGAAACTTCTTAAGGAACATTTAAAGGTTGGAATACCTCCACCTTTAGAACAAGTCAAAATGCTCCTTGAGAACGGCGCCAATCCCAACATTCGAATATCTCAACCAAGATCACTTCCACCAAAGCCATCAGTGACACCGCTAGATACCTTCACTCTCCATTCATCATTGAGCGAGAGTGACTTAACATTACCGCAACGCTCTGTGCACAAGTTGCCCAATGCGCTGTTTGTCATAATAATACTGTGCGATGACCCTCTATACTGTAAGCTACTGATTAATTATGGTGCCGAAGTCATACCAAATGACTCCAACTTTCCAAATGCATTTGTTTTCGCAGCAAGGTAACCATTAATATTACGAATGAATGATTCTGTTGATTTGATTATTCGAAAGCTCAGTTTGATCTTTTTTTTCCTGTGTTGCCAGATATAGGAGGGTCCAAATAATGAAATGTCTGCTGGAGAATGTTCCAGGGTTAGGTGATTCCGAGAGTGTTGACGCAGTGATCGTAGACAACAGTGGTAGTAGTGTCGGAACGAGGGCGCGCGACATAAAAAGGATATGGACCGGATTCACCGGAGAAGTTAAAAAATTAAAGAATCACATAATTAACAATAGAACAAACAACTTGTACAAATGAACAGTCACAACGGTTAACTAATTAAAATGTTCAAACCATCAAATTCATAACATGGATGGATATTACAATTTACTAACCCGCAATGCATATAATGCATGTACGCGCATAACGTCATTAGATTCATGCAAACATCATGAATAGGGTAAACCTTGGTGCGGAAATTTATTGTTTGGAATGTAAGGCACCGGATGAGGTTCGTGGTGCCGACTTTCATCTCAGAGATATATATTCAAAGTATAACTTTTTTTAAATGTTTACACCACTAATGTTTGATACATTAAAAAAAAAAAAAAAAAAAAAATGTATATACTGTATGTATTATAAAAACGACATAATCCTTAGTTCTTAGCATATTTTTATGAATGGATGGTTGAACTTTAATAAAAACGAGCCAAAACTAAATCTTTGAAAATTCCCGAGATTCCCTCGGATTAGAAAATGACCGTTGTACAAATAAAATTTAAGGTTATCAAAAAACGAACAAATGAATGTTTGAATTTTGATTTGCGACGATTGCGTGCGGAAAATTATTTTGAGATAACGCTCCATCAAGCGAAGATCAATAAGCACGTGGTAATCCGTTGAATATGTATGTAAAGATTAGAAATAATAATTCAAGCGAGCTGGTCATCCAAAATAAAGGCGCGGCATTCTGTGTTTAAAAAGCTCTTCATGGGACCAATGTTCCCCTGCTAGCTTGGCGATGTAGCAGAAAAGAGTATGAAAAAGATAATAATGTTATAGGGATGATGGTGGAGATGGAGAGATGGAAGGAGGTCGAGGAACAATAAAGATTAAATGAATGAATGGTATGTATTAGGGAAAGGGAAGTGGTCGTGATGTGATGATGGTAAAGGTGATGGCGAAAGAGTGGAACGAATTTTCACGGTGTTCTAAGAGGGTATACGACACTTGGATGAAAAGCAATCTAATACTGTCATTGCACAACTCCTGCGATTTTAACTGACTGCAATACCACGAATTTAAGTCCCAAAGGATTGAAGCTGTGGATGTTCCTCACGTGACTGGAGCGCATAATTGTACTGTAAAAATATCAAAGAGCTGAATGTCAGCAATCAATAATGCAAAATAAGAAGCGAATCATGAGAACTTCACAAGGGGACTCGTTACCTTCGGAATGTTTCTTCGGGCTCGAGTTTCAGACGGTAGATGACAAAAGTTTTGCGGTAGTGTTCTTAGAATTTATGAGTTCCATTTTTCTGTTTTTAGTTCTTACGAGTTTTTTTTAATAAAGGGATTTTTGGTGAGATTTTTCTTCTTTTTTTTTGGTGGTGATTGGTCGGGAAGAGCTTAGTTGTAAGAAGTTATCTTAAGTTTGGCTTGACCGTGGAGATTCTTTGTAAATGAGGGAAACGAATGTCAGATTATTTGGTAAAATTTTTTTTTTTTGGATAAGTTATGTCTTTGAAAGCCTTTGGCTCGGTTACGCGTGTATCTTGATGTGTTAAAGAAATATATCTGTTTGGTAGAGAATGAGCTCAGTAAGGTTGGTAGTAGTAGTTTCTTTACCAAGATAAATAAATGATTCTTGAGAGGAAAACACGGAAAGTTTTGCAAAGAAGGTTTATATATTAATTCGATTTTCGTCAATCACTGAAAACCTTTTTTTTTTCTCAATATTGTGAACAGATCACGAGTAAACCGTCTTACTTAATTTGAGACCGCAATCATTGTATCAAATTCCTTTACTAGATAAAGAAAAAAAAAATAATCTTTTGAAACATTTAATTCCTTCTTGAATTAGCGTTTTTTTCTTTTTGATTCTCAATTTCTGAATTTAGTATTACTGGTACCGTTCCCCTAACCTTTTTTTTTTTTCTTTCACCAATAAACGTATACTGGTAGCATCATCATAGTCATCTATATTGATTTCGCGAACGTGATTAGATTTTTAAAGTTTTGACATTCATTTTGCATGCATCTGGTATTTGAAACTCCGCGACTTACATAGAAATAAAAAATAACCGCACAGGTTTCACCCGGAAAGAAAATTAAGGATGGAAAAGACAAGAGTATGATAATTCTAAACAAGTATCATTTCATACAGTAGCATTGATGTTCACGTTAAGGTAATTTCATAGAATCAAGTAATCTTAATTGTTTGAATTTGATGCAATCATAAATTATTTTGGACGTGTATAGTTGAAATCAGGATTCGGGTGTCTATCTTTTTTTTTTCCTTATTACCAAATAAAAAGAAGAATTGACTATTGGGGGAAACCTTAAATTACCCTTAAACGTGTGAACCTCTCAAACAATAATTTCTTTTGACCTTTGTAGTCGTCATATAGTGTCTTATTGTCATTTTCTTAAATAGTAGATTATTTCGTCGAATTTGATCGGTACCACGAATTTAACATAAGGAATTTCCATTGCCTGTTTCTTTTATTGGTTAGATAGCTTGGAGATCGACTTTGTTGGAATGTTCTCAAAAACGTCCACGTTTTCTCCGACGATTCGCTGCGGGAAGTTATTCATTGTCAACTATGATTAACCTATAGACTATTTTTTCACTACATCCAGCTTCTTTCCATTGTAAAAAAGAAACAAAAACGAAGTTTAACCACTAGTTGGCAATACTGAGTTTCTGATGACAATATTCTGTCAGGAATATCCCGCGTCGTTTATTTTGAGTTTTGCGATAATACCACCATTTGAAGAAAATCTATCATTGATTTACCTATGTGGATACTTAGATCGGTCTATGTCAATAACGTGTGTGTCGATGCATAATAGCTGCAATGGGTTTTTTTTTTTAAAAAAAACAAGGTGTGCATATTGCATGCAACTTTAATATGTGTACTATCCATTATATGGCATTAATCTAATGGTGTGTACTTGATTTTGAATAAATAGCTTTTTATGCTTGATACAGTACTTTATTTCAATCAAAAAATCTAAATTCACTTCAATAAAAAAACTTTCTATGTCGTATCATACAGTATACTTTATATACATGCGTAAGGTATTACAATATACATACTGTATACCGTACGTATACCATACAATATTACAGCAACAGTATGTAACAAGAATATTTGTCTGTTATTTATTTACTTGTGATTGATTGATTGCTTAATAAAAAACTTGTGAAAAATATGTTGTATAGTATATATACAGTAAGAATGCTTTAGAATACTGTATCTAAGGAACACACCTTTTTGTACGATTATCAAAATTTATTTGAATAAATTGATGTGACAATAAATTATATTTACAAAAAAAATTTATTGTAAGTAAAAAAAATATTAATAAAAATACAAGAAATTCTTTTTTATCATATACTGTATACTTTTTGTTAACTAGTAAAATATTTAATAGTTATTACTTATTTTTTTTTTTTTTTAAAAAATAATTTTATATCAAAAAAATCAAATAAAAAAATATTTGACTTTGAAAATTCTTAAGAAATTTTAAAAATTAAATACTATTTATATATATTCAATCTTGATATTGTCATATATCATTTCTATCTTAAGAAAAAAAAATAAAAATAAAAAAACTAGTAGCAGAAAAAATTTTTGTTTAAAAGAACCAATATAATATGCTAAAATTGTTTATAAAGTTAGGTAAAAAAAACAAAAACAATTTGTTTTATAAAGGTTTAAATATTTATTCAATAAATATTGTAGAAGTTTAACTTTTTTAATTTTTAAATAAAATTAAAAACTTTATATAACTATATATATTTTAAATTGATTAAGAATATTAGATATATAATATGAAAAAACTCTTTCCCACTCTTCCTTCTATACTTAAAAATTTCCTTTTTAGGAAATTTTGAATTGTTTACTTTTTTTCACTTTTCTTTTTTTCTTTTTCTTTACTTCTCCTTTCTTATACCTTTTTTATTCCCTTTTCATTATTTTTACTTTTTCTTTCTATATACTTTTTTATATACTTCACCCCTTTCTCTTCCTTTTTTTTCTTCCTTGCCAAAATTAAATTTTTCTTTTTTTTCTGAAAATTTTCTTTTCAAGTCTTTCTATTCTTTATAAACCCACTCTTCATAATATCAACCTCCTGACCAATTAATAGCTTTTTCTCAAGACTATATTCAGAAGTGATAACTTTTCTCAAGATGTGAGCTTCAGAATTTTTCTCTTTTTCATAATCTTATAGAAAAAAAACAGATGACTTATCTCTTCAAAAGATTGATATGATTATTATTATCAAATCTAATATTGGTTACTTGTTAATAATTAGACTAAATATATTTAAAAAACTGGTGTACAATTATTATTATTCAAAAATATTCAAAGAGTTACACCCCATTGTATCCAAAAGAATATGGTAACCAATACCAATATAGCTAACAATAAGCTAGATTAGTATACAAATATTATACTGGTAATTGAAAAAACCTAATAGGATAATATATAAAGATCGGAAATTCTAATTACTTCTGCAATATAAATTGGTGACAATAACAAGAGTTCTTTGCTCACTTCTCTAACAATGTAAACTCATTATACAAGGTTAGATATCAATATCTTTAAAAAACACCAACATCAATATATCTGATATTCTTTTTAACAAACTATTACCTCATATCCAAACTTTTACTATACTTTTTGGTTTCAACTTACCCTAAATCCAAAACATATTCTCCAAAGCTACTTTAACAGTAAGATTAATTGTTGCTTCCTAGCCTATAGTTCTAATAATAAATTCAAATGGAGATTAATACTAGGTGCAGTTGGTGAAAGATTAATTTTGTGTTAGAATAGTTTTAGTAGTAAAAACAGTTACTATTCTTCAGCCTTTAGTCCTAATAATAGATTCAAATGAAAAGTTGATGTTAGGTGCAAATAATGAAAGGCTGGTTTTACTTTAGTATAGTTTAAATTTAGTATAGTATAAAACCAACTCTTACTTTACTTGTTATATATCAAGTTATATTTGGAAAGCAAGTGTGTCAATTCTAATCCTGACTTGAAGGCAGACCTGTATATGATAGCTACAGTACCTTTATATAATTAGATAATCATTTTTCTTTAGATAGCTAGATACTATTTAAGACATAATATAAGTTTGGAAATTCTTTTTTTTTATATTCTTGGATAATTCCAAGAAGTATAAAGAATAATCATATCTGCAGAGCTTTGCATTTAACTCTTCCTAACAAAGAGATATATATGTTATATTATAAATGTATTATAAATCTTATATTCACAAGTCTAAAATTATAATAATAAAATAAAATATAATAGCCTTTTGCTTCTTCAAAAAAAAAATATTAGATATATGACTTATTGATATTTATATATTTTGTTATTATATCAAATATCTTTATAAATTAGACTATTGTTATTCTAGAATATAAATTAATACTATCTAGTAATTATTATTTTCAGTAATACTGGTTTTTCAAAAATCAATTTAACTATTCTGATTAATTAGCTTATATCAATTAAGTAGACTCACATTAGATAGGATTTATATAAAAAAAAATTCTATCACTAGTTTAACACTACTTTTTTTATTGGTTCAATCATATTATTTAATTATTTATCAAAAAAAGATTATATGAAATGTTATTATAAAAATTAGTTCTAATTATTTCAGTTATTTATTATTACTGATCTTTGAAATTATTATTAATATAATATAGTACTACTATTTTATTATCTACAAAACTGGTATTCTTGCTTGAATTCTAATATATTTCTCATTAGATACACTTGATTTAATAATTTTGTCTAGTTTCTTATTATCTATGACTAATAACACTAGTCCAAATTGGGTTATTCGGCTGCCGAATTACAGCCAATTAAATCCAAATTTATTAATAAAAGTTTATACCGAAGTTTTGTTGTTTGGTCCAATTTATGCCAC